CAGTACAAAGGCCATCGGCGAAGTGTGGGAATATGACATAGATGAAATGGTTCAGCGATAAAATAATATACAGAGACATGGAATAGCAAAAAGTGGAATACATGGATGCACCAAGAAGCTGTAAAATTAATGATGGTTAAATTCGTGGAGGTTGTGTTTGGAAGAGAGCATACCTTGTCTATGACAGGAGGAATCTCAAATTGAAAGATAACTGTGATGCTTGTTACCACGTGAATGATGAGTTGAATACAGTCCGCTAGTCCTATAGCAAAGAGAACACGATAAGCCGTTACTCGGCGGAAATCAGTGCTCCAAAGAACCTAAACAGCTTAGGAACTATTTCATGGCAGATGAATTGAAACCAGCTAGTTTGCAAAGCAAAAAAATAAGTGAAATGCTTGCTTTTATAATTATAGGCCGTGCACGCAATGTCTGGATCCATTTTGATGCGCCGTTATAGGAGAAGCGTTGAAGGGCGATCTGACCACACTCTCAGCTCGCCAATATTTTTTTTTCAAACTATCTTCCAATTATATTGGGTTGTCTAATGAGTAATGTCGACTGTCGGTAATTTTTTGTGAAAATCACTGGAAGGCTCATTCTATTACTTCCCTATCAACTCTCAAACGGACAGACAAACGAGCCGGTCAACATATATACAAACATACGTACATGTATAATACAGTCCATATCAAAAAGTTGGGGTATGGCGTGTCACCGGCAACAGACGCACTTGATAGATGTGGCGCGGGTATGCTGCTTCCAACATAGTACATCTGGATATTATTGGGTTGTCTCATAATTCCTGTCGCAATTTCGACACTTTTGTTTATTCAAGTTTTATCTCTTCTGGGAAACAACTGATCAATAGCATAACCACCATCATGGTCACTGATATGCGTGCATTTGCTAGTGGGCGTTTGGAAGCTTCCAGCCCAGAATGAAGGAAACTGGGGGTTGAAGAATTTGGAGAAGTCGTTTTTGGGGTGACCGCAATCTTTAACTTTCTTCTCTGGCAGATGCTTATTCAAAGCGCAGGGGAGGCGATAGTCCGATAGAGCGATGCCAATGCTATATGGTGGATGAGGTATCGTGGCCCTGGCTATCTCCCTCAGAACGTGGTGAGTTGGCATTGCAATGTGAGGTCTGGCGTACATTCGGAGGAAGGAGATCTGAGACGTTTCTGACGATTCTCCTCGCAACCCCGAAGCCAGCCTAGAGGGCTATTCCGCGCTGACTTTAGCAATGCTTGTCTTCATACATTGAAGTGGTTCCCAAACCAGGCCACCTAGCGAATCCAACAAAACGAGAGCGATATTCTCAGAAAATTCGGGCTTTGGTTGAGCTGGTGCTTCCTGGCTGCGAGGCAGCCATCAGACGTGCCGCATGTTGTTGTCGCAGTGGACTCATGACTCATTTCCACTGGTGACCGATTAGGGAAGGCTCTGCTTTTGCCGTCCCAGAATGGATTTTCCCCAGATGGTCAGGCGTGCTTCCCGCTCATGGTCGGCCGGACCATAAGGTTTCCATCAAAACTTCATTCTGCAGCAGTCCTTGCCATACTGATGGCGTGTGCTGGTGCATCGGCTGCGCTCAGGTATCTGCTACAATACCCTGGTAGCAACGTGCGGAGGCACTCCCAATTTAGGGTGCAAGGGGCGCTCATCAAAAATGACCGCAGGCCCAGTATGAGGTTGAAGTTCATAGCTCGTTTCGTCTTTGCCGTTGCGATTGGACCACTAGCTCAGTACCCTATCAGTAGCAGAGACTGGGTCAAACACAGCGCTGATCTTCTCTGTTGTCCTCCTTGCTACAGAGTTCATTTGAGGATCGTAAAGCATAATCATTCATTGCAGTCACTGACCTATTTTTATTCCTAGTTGATTAACCCGTTAAGGGCTTGCGCTTCCGAAACCATGCTGTTAAGGCTCTTGAAGCATACTTCAACATACTAACGTATTTCGCAATGAAACGGTCTTAGACGGAAGGAATTTGAAATTGAATAGAAATGCGACAGGAATTATGAGACAACCCAATAGCAATGCATGCTGGCAACAGCTCATCCACGCAACCTCTATCGAATGCGGTAGCAGCCACGTCAATTCCGATGACACGCCTATCCCAACAATTGGATGTGGACTATAAAAACAATGACTATAACCCGACACAGCAGAGTGGGTTATAAAACAGGATGTTATGAATGAGCGGTCATATCAGGTACCAAAATGTTTCACTCCACAAGCCAACCATCTCACTGTCAGTCATCATCAAGCAGTAATGCATTGGGTTGTCCGATAAGTACTAGTGTGATTTTTTTTTCTTAGGAAGTTTTTCATCTTATGGTACCATGCTTTCACAAATTTTTACTATCAATAGAAAAAAAAGCTCTCGAAAATCAATAGAAAAAATCTCCGCTCCGAAAATGCGTTGCATTGCTTCTATAATCATTGCGAATCGACTGTATTACAGGCTTACAAATTGGAAGGATGAATAGGCGAAAGGTAGCTTAACCCTTTCGGACCTGAATTTTTCCCCGTGGAGAAATTTTTCTTCTAGCTATTGTTTATTACTTGTGAGCATATAGGTATCATTATGGCGAAATTTGGAAGCTATTCGATCACAAACAAAGAAACTAAGAAGCTTTGAAAATTGGCCCACCTTCTTAGTTTTTAAGCTTATGTCGAAACAATTCGAAATTTCATAGTTATGCCGAAAAAGTTTATAATCTTGCATAACATTATAACCCATAATTTTGATTTAGGAATGGATCTACTTCAAGTATTTTTAAGAAAAAGTCACACTTACTTGGCCGGTTGCGGGGGTCAGCGCCCATTCATTGTTGCACTTGTACACAAATACTTGTAATACTAACAGCAACACACAATGAAATGGCAGGTTTAGCTCATAATTAGGAAGGGGAAGGTTGACTGAAGCAACCTCTAGCAGGATTAGAAAAACCATGCTGTTTCAGCGGCAATGCAAGCGTTTGAATTTGGTGGTGGCAATTGCCACCGCCAGGGCCGAAAGGGTTAACAAGATTAGCTCAAACTTCGTGTACGTCAGAAAGAAGTCCATGAGTAATGTATTATGTACGTAGCCACAACTCTCACTCATCATTTCTCTACTTCACTTTCCAGCGAGGCCGTGTTTTCCTTTTCCATATGAAATTTGATATTCAACCAGAAGTCGGAGGTTGACCGTTACTTGTCGCATCTAGACCCCTAATTTTTACATCAGCGATCCACTGGAGAACTGGCAAGACGTTTAGAATCCGTCGTGCCTGATCACTGATTAATTTTTCGGCATTCTTGGGAAATTTCATGACCCATTCGTCATTTACATTCTTGGCACCCGTCATTCTCATGATGCGTACTCATTCGGTCGTTCACCTTTTGATTTCTGTCAGAAGTCACAAAATTGAAAGCGAAACCTCCTAGGGCATGTGCTAAAGTGGAAGGTTACGTTATGACTGATTTCTTCTAGAGGAACAGAGTCAGTTGCGGGTATGGACTCCTCGTCCACTGAAGGTTTCAGTTTGCAAGCCTTAAATATAGCCGGCCACAGTGATTGTTGAATGTAATTCGAAGAGCGGACAGATCTCCTTTCAATAACATTCAAAGTGTGATAAGCGCTGGGACTTTCCAAGGAGAAACAACGTTTCCATTGAAGAAAACGAATGCTTCTTATTGATCGCCTAATACTTGCGTGAACGCAAATGTGTGCCGAAAGTAAAAAAAATAGAAGGTAAATTCAAGTCAACTCAAACTTGTCGTTTAACGTTGAAAAAGCATCACAACTTCTATCACACTGCGCAATGCGTTATCAGAGGCTTCTGTTAACCAAGAGGGTGAGAGTTGTAGATGGAAAAGCTTACACTGCTTCGTGAGTAGAAGATTCACCTTTGTTGAAAATACTATAAGAAAGTGGGCTGTGATCGTGTGCGTTGTTGGAGCTTCCCAGACACTACCGACCATAGCGTTGATTTGCCTCGCCTTCCACTGGGTTGACGGTAAGTCCTCAGGACTAATCTGTCACTGATTTTCATCGCAGCTCAGCTTTTTCATGGTCATAGCTTGACCGGCACTCATACTCTTATGTTTATCCAGTATCGTATGAAGGGGCGCGCAAACGCTAAATCCTTCTTATCTATTTAATGATTTTGATTGTTAATTCTGTATTAACGTTTCGTTGCGAAGACTCGGAAGAATGCTGAGCTACGAGAGGCCAGGGACCGCCAGGGCCGAGGTTGTGAATAATTCATCATTGCTGTGAGCCTTTCACTTTCTGCTTTTCGTTTTTTTTTTCAAATCAGGACTTTACTAGTAAGTACTAATAGAAGAAGGACGTTCCTTGCTTGCACCACGCTTACCATTAGAAAAGGGATGTAGAGGCGAAAGAATAAACTATGCTGTTGCTGTGCTTCTAAGTACCTGCCGTACGTGGTAGGAAGATGTGACGGACTTCATCTCGTCGGCCATTATTCCTTCGCCACAATAGGGCCAGTATTTTTTCGAAATTTCTCAACACAGTGAGTAGAGCAACATAGGATAGTCACGTGCTGCTGTGTACATAGTGAGGGCGTCCTCAAAGTGGATTCATTTGCTAAATGTTATGTTTTGTCGTTCGTATACATATTTATTAATCGAATGAATTTAAAATCATAATAACACATGAGATAAGGAGAATATCATCGATGAATTGTCTTTGTTTAGGAGAAACTGAATGCTTTAACAAGGCGCCATACATATCACCACATTTATATGTAGGGAGGCAGACCAAATACGATATTCTGCGCGCACAAATCAGAACTTTTTTTTGGGCCAACAACATGTTGCTGGCGTTGATGACAGTCTTATGGCAATATATTCTCAATTTTCCTCCTCCCCCATATAAGAAGAAGGAAGCCTTTGATCACCGCTCTTCTTCTTCTCTTTCAGAATATGAGGACATTCGCCATCGCCGTCGAGCCCTTAGATGACCCTTACAAGGGAGGTCTTTTAGGGCAAGGTGCGCTTTTTCAAAACGGTTTTGTGCATATTGTAGGGACGCATGTAGGGAACGCAAAACCATGTTTCATTTTCGCTGAACGGTTATAGCAGTACCAAAAAAGAAGCATAAGGTACTGTTAAGGGTTCGATCCCCGTGGCGACTAAATTTTGCATTTGGGTTGGCGCCTACGGTTTGGTGCCAAATCGCGCTAAATATCAAAATCAGATGTCAAATTCATCGTCAGAACCATTTTGAAGCCATTTATATATTAGTATGATATAGGGGTGATCTATGGTCTATTCAACCCCCATTTCCTGGTTTTTTGGATGTTTTTGGACGAAAAACGGCTATTTTTTCACGAAAAATTTTTACTTCAAGCGCACGCCCCGCCCACAGGAGGCGGAGTTTCTTATGGCCAATACATTCATTTAATAGAGCGGTGTGTGCCTTATTTAGGCCTTATTTTTCATGACCTTTGGGATGTCCAGAGAGCAAAAATTTCAATTTTTTCAACGAAATTTCGATTTTTAACTGGGGTGGAGTTTAGCATGGCCAATATATTCCCTTATAGAGCGGTAAGTGCCCTATTAAGGCCTTATTTTTTCCCTGTCTTTAGACTGTTCTGAAGCCAAAAACTGCAATTTTTTCACCAAATTTTTTCATTTCGACGCACGCCCCGCCCACTGGAGGCGGAGTTTCATATGGCCAATATATTTCCCTTAGAGAGCGACTCATACTCTACCCATTCCAAACTTGACCCGCCCTCCCTAGGTGATTTTTGAAGGAAGAATTATAAACATGTGGGGGACACTTGCGAATTTTTGGGGAGCGGTCAGACAAACAAACTCTGGTTTATATATTAGTATGATACCGTTTACAAAAAGCGTACCTTGCCTTAACAGACCTCCATTGTGAGGGTACAGTATGAGCCTCACTGCGTAGAAGTGCATGCGAAGGGCCCTAGTGCGATATCCACTTGCGTGGATAACGTAGCAGTGTTGGCGAATGTCCAGGTCCACTGTGAGGGGGGGGGTGCCGAGTTTTCGCGGTCATAGTCACTCTCTATGTTTCGCCCGATTTCCGCTGTAACGCCCCGTGCTTTTTAATATAGACGCGCAACTGTGGTCTGGGCTAACTTCATATCCTCATAGACCACTACCGAGACGGCCTTTAGACAGGTGGAATTCGTGTTCAGCAAGGAAGTTGAAGCTAGTGATGGGTAGATGCGAAGAGGTCGGTGGAGTTCCTCGAGCTCATAATTCGCTTCTAACACCTGAAGACCGGGAAAAGTGGCCAATATCTAGAAATCAGGGCCGAAACGTGAGGGGAGTAAAACCAGTGCGCAGGTAGGTGTTTCACGAAAGTAGGACTTATTCCCAGAATGACGATTCAGAAAAAATTCCGGTACATTTGAGAGTGATCTCCCGGCCACGGAAGTAGCGGCCCAGACAGTAAAGTCACGGTTCAACGCGGCTTAGATGAGATGGAAGGATCTCATAGGAAATACAAGGTGCTTTACAACACAAAGAAAAAGTGTACCGGACAGCAATAAAACATGCGGTGTTATACAGCGAGAAATGCTGGCTCCCTGAGCAAGAATGACCAAAGTTATTACGTTCATTAATCCGAAATGAGGATGCTAGAACGGGCGTGCGGCTGGATGCGACTGTACAGGGTCGCCAACGAGGACGTCAGAGCGGTCATGCAAACTGATTCCTGTCCAGCTGAAGCTGCGAGAGCGTCTGTGATGACTTCAGCATCCCAGTTCAGCGGAGCGAATCTGACTATGGCGGTTGTTCTTCAGGGGCACGCACTCGCTGCCGTATAGCACCGCATGCCTGATCACTGTTCGGTACACTTTTCCTTTAAGTGACTCTGGGTATCTGTGGGCTCCCTCCATCTCATTCTAACCTCGTCGAACCGTAACTTTACTGCCTGGTTCACACTACCGTCGGCGGCTGAAACGCCACTAAGGAACCGGAATTTTCGATGCGATGGTATAGTCACGTGTTGGGAAGCCACAATCACACCATAAAGAACGCGATGGACTTCGAAGCGCAAGGCAAGCGACCGCGAGGAGCCCCAAAGAAGAGGTGGAGAGACGTGATCAAGAAGGACCTAAGTGAAGTCATGGCCACAGCAGAAGATGCCCTGGACAGATTAAAGTGGCGACGACTGACAAAGACAGCGGACCCTGCGACTGCGCGGACTAACGCTAGGGAGAAGAAGAAGAATAAGATAGAATAAATAATTCATAAGGATCAGGAGTCAGACAAATAGGAAGTAGAAACGTGAAACGACCGAGGTCTTTGAGGTATTGACAAGTCTAACATTTCTTGACTGCAGGCATGTTGACAACGAAGGTAACAGGAGCGCAGGTGAAGGAAGGCTGATTGCACCATTCAGTCATGGAATGGGAAACAGTATCATAAATACGTTCATTTGTTCCGATATATTATCAGGCTACTTGTAGTCGTAAAAAAGCAGAATATGAAAAATAGGATTCCCGATATGCTAAACTACACACTACCAAATAATAGGAGAATCGATCCGTGCAGGGCTCATCCCAAGCTCACCTACATACAGCAAACACTAAAGGACTTATTCTATGGTAAAAACATTCAGTCACTTACTAAAAATGAAGATGTAGCTCGAATGGACCGTCAGTGAAGATAAGTAGTGATAACTCCCGTTCAGTTCAGTGCCTTTGTGCAGGGTAGCCGAGCGAGTATAGACAGTGATATGAGACGCAGACAGCCTCTCCCTTTCAGGATCAAGCGTGCGTCGAGAAATCCTCAGCAGGTTGGCAGAAGGGGGGGGGGGTTGGTCCCGCTGGGAGAACAAGGTCGGGCCGGTGGCGATGCAGTGGGATCATCACCGCCAAAATACTCCAAAAACACAAACACAGAAGGTTTGATTTTGCGCAAGCTCGGTAAGAACATTTCTAATAACAATATTACAACGCACATATGAAATTCGCGTGGTTCAAAGGAGGCTCTGCATTTAGGTTGTCTCATAAATAGTGTCGCTTTTTTCAAACAAAAAATTTTCTTCTAAATCCTCCATGCTTTTACATCATGTCATATACCATTCGAAAGAGAATTGTCTGCTCTACAAGATGCTATGTTCCTCTTCCACCTCTGTTCCAGGGTTTTCAAATTTTAGGCCTGCGAAATGGGAGGTCCAGCCGACAAAAATTGACCAAACCGACAACTAGCTCTAACTTTATTTTCCCTGGGAGAAATCAATCAATGATGTACCCTCTACTTACTCATGACCTCTTCTAACATTCCACTCTTAGGTTGCCGAAAAAGCTTTGCCGTGTTTCTTTTCGAATTGGCTGACCGATAAGCCATAGCAATTTTCAAATTAAATTGTTCCTCGTAAACGCCATTGTTTCATATCGAGTGGTGTTCCTTTTGTGAGCACTTCTTCTGCTCTATTCGCTCATTTGTTTTGTTTTTATGTTTGTTGGGAATTAGTTCGAATTTTAGGTGTTTAGGAATAAGGTGTTTTATCCACGAAAGTGACCGCATTTCTTTGAAAAAAATTATGAGAAGATGAGAAAATCAACCAGGCGTACATTCCTAACTTAGTCATGACTTGTTCTTCAAATTCTACTAGTTTTTCAATGTCTCGGCTATAAAAAAATTTCGACCTAGATCTCAGGTAATGGTGCTCGACCGTCGAGTTCTGGTTGAAAAACCAGGTCTGGAAATGGAACGACGCGACTTGTTGGGAAACCTAATAGTGTAATGTTTAGAAGAGGTCATGTATAAGTAGAGGGTACATCATTGATTGATTTCTCCCAAGGGAAGATAAAGTTAGAGATAGTTGTCGGTTTGGTCAATTTTTGTCGGCTGGACCTCCCATTTCGCAGGCCTAAAATTTGAAAACCTGGAACAGAGGTGGAAGAGGAACATAGCATCTTGTAGAGCAGACAATTCTCTTTCGAATGGTATGACACGATGTAAAAGCATGGGGATTTAGATGAAAATTTTTTGGTTGAAAAAAAGCGACACTACTTATGAGACAACCTAATAATTCTGAGGCACCTCAGCGATTTATTATGGTACTGGTAAAGAATCTGAATTCCACAAGTTTTACGGGGTATTTTACCTCTCAAATGGCCCAAGATGATGTGTGAAGCACACTGCGCGTTTCTAGTCCCTTGACGCGCGCTTCAATCGCGGGTCTCTGAAGAAAAATCTCGATTCAGGAAAAACAAAGGGTATTCCGAAAGGGGTGATTTAAAAACACTGGAACGAACCTAATATTCAAAATAAAGTGCGGTTTTCTGCATCAATGTATAAGGGACTTGCCATACACTTCTAAAGGTGTGGAATGCGAAAGGCTCTGCGGGTTCCGAATCTGCTTCCGTCTGTACAAAACAGTCCCTGAGAGGACATATCCTTGCTGAAAAGTTGCCACTGCGTCGAAGGAGAATCTCTTGGTGGTACTCATAGAAAAATCTCATCGCAGCCGTTTT